CACTTGGTAGCCCAGGCTGGCCTCGAACTCACAGAGATCCGCCTGCCTCTGCCTCCCGAGTGCTGGGATTAAAGGCGTGCGCCACCAACGCCCGGCCCGTGTTCTCATTGTTAAATAAACAAAGGACAGTGTTTCACAGCTACAGAAACCAAACGCTCTTCCGGACAGGAAGCTGAGACACCTTGGTGATCCTAGTAGAGCAGCTTGCCTCTGTCTGTTGCCCCTTCCCCAGCCACCTGACGCCATTCCCCCGGGGTTCCTGAGCCCAGTTTGAATGGTGCTGTGCATGCTCGCTTTCCAGACCTGATCCTGGACCAGCAAGAACTGTTCAGCGACCTGAACGACAGTATGAGGGTGAAAGTGCGGGAGGCCCTTCTCAAGAAGCACCACCATCAGAACGAGAGGAGGAGGAACAACCTCATCCCCATCGTCCGCTCCTTCGCTGAGGTGGGCAAGAAGCAATCTGACCCACATTCCATGGATAGAGACGGTACGGATTTGCGTCTGTTTCTCTTTATTGACCACACGTGTGGGGACTAGTTGGAGATGCAGTTACTAGAGGCCGTGACACGCAGACCCCTGAACTTTTGGACGGTAGTAAGCCGGGCAGTTGGGAAATGGTACCGTCTCTCCCTTGTGTGCTTGGAAAGCATTCCAAGTAGATCTCCAAGATGAGGGATATGTTCCCTGCATGCTTTCAGAGAGGGTGTAGCTTTGGGGAGAATGTCCACATTGATCATGATCTGGGGCCAGAGAAGTTGAGTTGCAGCCTTTTCTAACTAAATGAAAGTCTTTGCTTAGACACAAAATACCATAGTGTGGTCAGGCCTGTGCTTTTGGCCTACCACCTGGAGAGTATATGGCCCTGGACAATCTCTTACAGCTCTTCACAACTTACTTAAATAAGTAATGACAGGACCTTCCTTCCGTTTATTATGGGGTTTCTGTGAGTTAACTTATGTTCAAAGCCTGTGCCGAGGCACAGGTGGGTTGCAAAGTCTTCCAGCTGCCAATTGCCTGTCTTGCTGTGGCTGGGCAAGGCCTCCTCTGTCTTATCTCCTCATTTACTAAATCGAGTGCAGACCTTTGCTGGCCAACTGTAGAGGTCCTCATGCACTGGGGTTAAGGGTCACTGCCTCCAGAGAGGAAGATGAAGGAGGATCACCTTCCTCTTAGCGCTGAGTGTGGAGACAGGTGTGAGTGGACTCTGCTTTGTAGACCTGCCAACCTCTAGAAGTCACAAGCTGGGTCTGATGACCGTCTGTGTCAGAGGGGAAAGGCAAGTCCTTAGTGGGTTCTGTTTGACTTTCTCCAAAATAGGTCAGACTGTTTCTCCTCAGTCTGCTCCAACTACGAATCTGGAGGTGAAAAATGGAGTGAGTTGTGAACACAGTCCTGTGGATCTAAGCAAGGTGAGGGAGCCGTGGCAAGCTGGCTTCTAGGCTAAGGTTGTCTGTAGTGGAGCCCAGTGTCTTTGGACTCTTTCTGGGATCTGGTGAGCGCTGATGTTTCATGATCTTTTCGCCAAGACCAGCGCGGCTTCTGTGGGAAGGGATGCCATCTTGTTAGTCCTCGCCCTTCGCACACACAGCTGGGGGAGGTGAGGCTCCTCAGCGTGTCCTTCCAGGTCCAGCGTAGTGAAGACAGACTACTCCCGAGGCTTCACTCACCACCACCCCGCCCCCCATTCATGAGTTGCTTTTTGGTATCCGATGCTCTGTGGTTTCATCTCCTCTTCAAGTATGCAGCTGCCTCCTAAAGCTCCCAGTGTTTCAGACTCTTCTTGGGGGCTGTGACTGCTGTATTGATGAACTAGTCAGGTATTTGAAAAGAGAAATAACATGACCCAGAGCTTCTGAGGCACTGCCTCTCTGAAGAGCATGGTGGATTTAAACTTTGATTCTTGAGGTGGCGCAGTGGATAAAGGTGTTGCTGCCGAATGATCTGAATTCCATCCAGAAACCCACACAATGCAAGGCGGAACTGACTCTCATAAGGTGTTCTCCGGCTTCCACACGTGGGCTGCAGCATATGTAGACACACACATCAGGCGGTGGTGGCGTATGCCTTTAATCCCAGCACTTGGGAGGCAGAGCCAGGCAGATCTCTGTGAGTTCGAGGCCAGCCTGGGCTACACAGAGAAACCCTGTCTTGAAAAACAAAAAAACAAAACAAACAAACAAAAAAAAAACACCAAAAAACAAAAAAAGAAAAGAAAAGAAAAACAAAAGACACACACACACTAAATTACATATAATTTATATGTGATATAAATTATGAATAAATATATATCTGTATTCTAGGCTCTCTAGTTCTAGTCAGCTTTCCCTCCCTGAATACTAATTGCTTTTTTACCCCTTTGTTTTTAAGTAGTGGGACTGATGCCTCCATTCAGGGTTTCTGTCGAGATCAAATAAAGCATCTGTAACCCTGGGTGGCGCTGCACTGTAAGGTGGGAGGGCGTGACTGGCACTGAGGTTGATGCCCTTGTGCACTTTCAGGTGGACCTTCATTTCATGAAAAAAATCCCCACTGGGGCAGAGGCCTCCAATGTCCTGGTTGGAGAGGTGGACACTCTGGACCGGCCCATCGTGGCCTTTGTGAGGCTCTCTCCGGCTGTGCTTCTCTCAGGCCTGACGGAAGTGCCCATCCCCACAAGGTGACTCGGAGATGTCGGCCAGCCCTGGTGCCGGAAGCTAGCTAGTGCCGGAAGTTAGGGCTGGCTGTTTGGAGAGGGATGAAAGCGGGGTGGGGGTGGGACTAGGGGTGGGGGCTGTGACCGTGGAGTACTACTGGCCTTGGAAAAGGAGCCTAGCGAACAGTGAAGTCCAGCAGGGACCAGTGGCCTGTCACGCCAGGAGGCCTCGGTCTCCCTTCCCAGTTTGAGAGAGCAGTATCCAGGGAACTGTTTCTAGGCAAAGGTACTGATGTCTTTCCACAGCACTGGCAGGGCTTGCCTGTTTGTGTGCCCTGAGGTGGTTACGAGGTGATTCAGAGCCCCACTAATTATAGAGAGTGCTCAGATGTCCAGAACACAATTCAGGCTCCTCTCTGGGGCTTGGTCATTTCTACTTCTTATCCTTCCCTTTCCCTATCATTTTCTTATTAGAACAATGAACGGGAATTAGATAACCTGGAATTTACACAACGCTGTAGTGTTTTGAAAAGACATCTTTCTATAGCTAGGAATCGTGTCTATGGTAACTCTAAGAAATCCAGCAGCCGCATCATTGAATGATGTTGTATAAATAGCTCCGAATGCTGCTTGGCCATAGCACAGTGATGTCCTGCTGCATGTTAGTACATGCTCTTATTGTGGTGGTGGTGGGGTTGGGGGAGAGATGCTGTTTAGAGTGGATAAGATGTCACTTCTCTGTCTTTATTTATATAACTCCCTCTTTTTTGCGTGTTTTGGCAGATTTTTGTTTATCTTACTGGGTCCAGTAGGAAAAGGTCAGCAGTACCATGAGATCGGCAGATCCATGGCCACCATCATGACAGATGAGGTACAAGCCACTTCTGCCTTCTATTCGCTCATCTCCTAAATATTGAGCATTTACTCTGTTGCAGAAACTGTGTGTGTTGTTGGGGATAAAATAATGACTGTCACAGTGTCTGCTGGGAAGCGTTCCGAGAACTTTTCTGAGAGCCATTCAAGAACAAACCACACCCTCTGGAGACTTTCCTGGCTGTGCCATCTCTTGTTTGTTTATCTATAGACAGGTTCTTAACATGTAGCCCAGGTTGGCCTTGAACACCCAGAGCTGGGATTATAAGCATGTACCACTATGGCCACTTTACTCTTTTAAGTAATCAAGGATGCAGAGAAACCATTTTCTGGGAGAATTATTATTGCCAAGTAGAATGTGTAGACTCATATTTAATGTAACTCATGAAGCCTGAGTTACCTTTCTAGAGAATATGGTGAATTAAATACAGTGAAGTTATTTGCATAAAGAAATGCTCCTGTTCCATGGAAAGGAGAATGGTTTGCATGAGGTCAGGCTGTGTCCTCGGGCGGTGTCAGGCGGAAGTGTCTGCCCACACCATTGTTCTGGTCCTGGTGAGGACTGCTGGACAGGGGGGTTTCCAAGGCGAGAAGCGTGGGCTGAGTTTATGATCTCTCTCTGGTTCTTTCACAGAAGACCTTCATTAGTAAGTCCGTCTAGTTTCAAACACGACTAACGATTTCTGTGTGTCTTGCTCTTTCTCCTGTGGAGATGATAGAATGACTTTAGAGTTGTGTCTTGTCTCCTTGACACAGGATCTCACTCTGTAACCCAGCTTGGCCTTCCACTTGCGGTGATCCTCCTGCCGTAGACTTTGGTGTGCTTGGCTTCACAGGCACATACGCTTCCATACAGTGCTTTAGGTTCCTTTTAAAATCCATGTACTTCTTTAAGCACTAAGTTTTATGTCTTAGATGTCCACGCCAGAGATAAAAACCAAGAGGCTGGGTCCATTTATCACTATTCATTGGAGAGTGTTGTAAATAAAATAATTTTGAGTTTTCCTAAGTTTTTTTCCCTCCTGTAGATCTTTCATGATGTGGCTTATAAAGCAAAGGAGCGAGATGACCTCCTGGCCGGGATTGACGAGTTCCTGGACCAGGTGACCGTACTCCCTCCGGGGGAGTGGGACCCGTCCATTAGAATTGAGCCACCCAAAAATGTCCCTTCCCAGGTAACGTATGCATCTAAGCTATTGGTGGGTGCTGTTCCTTCCACAGACAAGCAAAGTTATGTTATGTGTTTGTGCTGAATGTACCGAGACATGTCCCTGTTTGGGAGTTCTTGAATGCCAGACTAGGAATGAAAGATTAGCCTACAATAACAGGTAGGCTCGGATGTGATGAGACGTCATTGTTAACTGGGGGAGGATGTTTAGTCAAACTTGGGGAGGACTGATAGAGAATGTCAGAGGGGAGAGGGAAACTATTTCTTAGAAGTACATTAAATACAAGATAATCAAGTGAGAAAAACACGGCATAATGAAAGAGCAAATAGGCTTCCAGATGGTTCTCTGACATACTGAGAATGGGAAGAGAGCTCCTGTATGTACAGATGAGGCCAGCCATTTCCAGCCATGTAAATTTGGCCTTCTCAGACCTCCCTCTCCCATCCCCCACCCTGTGCTCTTATCTCTACAGAATTAACTGATCTTCTAGGGTAAGATTTTAAAGGACGGTGAGATTATAGGGACGCAGATTTGAAACTGGGATGCAGGTCCTATCTTATTTCTGGAAAGTTCTGTTGAGGAAGTTGTTTTCCATGTGTAAACACACACACCTCCCACCCCCATGAAAGCCAGCTGTGTCAAATCAGAATACATTTGGGAGCCACGAACATTGGAACATTTTTTGACTTTTGGACATAGGAGAAGAGCAAAGACAGACAGACGCTGGCTTGACCCGCTCTGTGGTCTTTTGTCAACAGGAGAAAAGGAAGATGCCCGGGGTTCCAAATGGAAACATCTGCCACGTAGAACCAGAGCCACACGGGGGCCACAGCGGGCCAGAGCTTGAACGGACGGGGCGGTAAGTTCTGAGACGCTGCTCCCTGGCAGCCCCCGTGTTAAGGAATGAGGCACCCTTGTCTGTGGTTGACTTTCAGATGGGACGTCTACTGTACATAGTACGGGTGTGTCTAATATTGTATTCATTCATTCGGGTTTTTTAAACCATTTATTATGTTCTGCCTGTCCTCCAGTCTGTTCTAGATGTTGTTTCCTCTGATGTGAACACAGCCCCTTCCCCTTCCTCATTTCCTGGTGTTGCCCGCTCATCCTTTCTCTCTACTTAGATGCCAGTTCCTCTGGAAAGCCTTCTAGTATTCTCTGTGGCTAAAATGACATACTTCTACAGTACTGATCTTAAACTCCCCTCTTACCTCCCCTTCATTACAGCCCGTATCATGCTTCATTATTACTCCGTGTGTGTGTGTGTGTGTGTGTGTGTGTGTGTGTGTGTGTGTGTGTGTGGTGTCCTGCTAGACTCTTGACTCCAAAAAGTCAAATACTGCATTGTGTCCTGGCACTCAGCACAGTGCCCAGTGTCAAGTAGACACACACCATCTGATGAATGAATACTTTCAGCATGGTACCTATGTGCAGCATGGAATGAATAAACAAGGGATGAGTAAATGCTGGGTCGTCATTTTAGGATGAGAAACTCGCTGAGGGCAGGAGGATGGGTATTACATGAGGTGTCCGTGAGGGGAAACCTACAGTTCAGGCTGGTATTTTAGAGACAGTTGTCCAAGGCAGAGGTCCTTTATGGTAGGTGAAGGTAACTAGTCCACAGACTAGGAAGTTCACTTCCCAGGTAGGAGAGAGATTAAGAGGATGACATGAGGCACTGGTGTGGGAGAGGCTGGGACTGGTTCTAGATGTTGTGTTTTGTCTAAGAGGAGCCAGTGGGTGGAGTCCTCAGGGCTGGACGCATTGCGGAGATGATTCTCATGTCATCTCTTTTCTGGAAGCTCAGGTGTTTTTGTTTCATTTTTTAATATAGTGCATGATTTACTTTTCTACTCTTAGAAATTTATGGAGAAGTCAGGAAGGGAACAGAGAAATGGGTGTGGGAATGGCCCTTAATTAGCACTGTCCTGATGGAAGAGTACGTTTTTCTGGTTGAGAGGATCTTTGAAAGTAGCTCCGTTCTGGAGTAGCACAGGCAGAAAGGAGAAGCCTTGCATGGAGTAGCTGTCGCTAAAGGGAGCAGCAGCCTAAGAAAGAGGCGAACTGGTGTCTGGCGGCAGTGAGGGGAGCATCCCGAGAGGCTCCAAGGCTGAGGCAGTGAGGGGAGCATCCCGAGAGGCTCCAAGGCTGAGGCAGTGAGGGGAGCATCCGGAGAGGCTCCAAGGCTGAG